AAACACCAATGAAACCAATTTTACGGTCATCATTAAACTTGGGAACATCCAGAGAACGCAGAAAATTTACCACGAAATACAAAGACACATGACATATGTTTTCTAAACTCTTTTCAAAACTAGCGATAAGGCTCCTTGAACCGCAGTCGGATATAGACACAGAGTGCGTAGTTATAGAAAAAAACACTTTTCTGAAATTTTCCCAGTGTCTAAAATCATACAGTCACGTCGTTTCGGAAGCTGGATTCTGGTTCAGTCTAGACCTGAAGCCAGTCCATCCAGAGGCCCCCAACAGATAGGCTTTTTCTCATATTTCCCCTTTTTCACCTGATAACGAAAGAAGAATGCAGCCATCGAAACGTTGTGACATTACAAATAAAACTTATCAAATCAACAAAATATAAGCAGGGACACAAACAGATGTTATGATATGCAAATAAGAATCATATAGTAGAAGATGTAATCTGCTCACCTGAAAATTAATTAGTTAGCAGACACATGCCAAATACGATGGAATATGTGTCCAATTTGTTTCTGTTATTAGTTACATTGGTGAAGGTATGTTCTGAAAAAGATGGTGGAAAATTCTAAACATTTAATTAGTCCTAGCTTTGCAAACCGGGAAGCGAATCAAAGGTTTCAGTGAGTTCGGAAGCGATAATTATCACGAAGAAAGGTAGCTCCAGTGACCTGACTTTGGAAAGAAAATTTTAAAAAAATTACGTTTATTATTTCAAGAATTTCAGAAAACAGCCAGACATAACAGTGATATTAAGTACGTGTGATCAGTAGACAAAAAAACCCTACAGCTAAGGGACAACTGCGTTACCTCTCTCGTAATACAAGTCGAAGTTTCAACAACGTTGATAACGAAGATCACCAATGGGTACAGTCCTAGGCCGTTCCAATCTAGTTTGAAACTAAGGAAGATCTATTTGTTTTTCGCAGACCCATTTTTATGTTACACTGTCATTTCCTTAAAAGCGACCGGTTTTCAAGAACTGCTAACCAAAACTCGAGCGAAATGTCCAGCTGATTTTAAAGTGGAAAGATTTAAATAACAAGTATTTGAGAAAACTTATAAAATAAATTAGTTTCCAGCTTCACGTAAAATAAATATTATACTAGATCGATACAAGTCAACATTAATTTCGGCTAAAAGTATTTATAGAACAGTAATTTCGGACTGATATGATCATGAATATGATTTTCGTCTAGGTTTTTGCATCGTATAGTCTCAAAGAAATTGACCCTGATGATGAAGGCGGTAAGCACTCCTGAAACTTCTGAAAATTTCTACGAGACTGCAACGCGCACGAACCCAGAAGACAATAAATAGTCTTCCTTCCCGTAGCCGTGAGAATCTCCAATTACCATCAGAAAGGAACTCCGACTGCTTCAACTTGTTCATTAGTTCACAACCAGGGTATTCCAGATACTGACAGAAGCTGACAAACCGCCATGCAAGTTAATGTACAACTGAGACTAGGACAAAGCGTCTGTTTTGCAACGGCGGCTAGACATAACCCTGAGTGACCAATGAACTCTTTGATGCAAGATTTGAGGTTTTCACAGCGGTGAGTACGAAGATTTCCGTCTTCTGGGTTGTTGCGCCTTGTAGTATGGTAGATGTTAACCAACGTTTCTGAGGTCATACTGCCTCCGTCATCAGGGCGATGAATCTACTACACAGCGCAACAACCCAGAAGACATAAATCTTCGTACTCGGACTCTTTGATGTTTCAACCTCTCGTTTCTCTTTCTTCTAGGAGCTAAGATGAATAGGGGGAGGAGTTAAAAGTGAATGAGCTCAGTCGTGGTTTTCTTCTCCTTCTGCATCCTGTAAAACAATCCCATCAATTTTGTAGCAAAACTTGGTAATTGGTTAAAGAGTGGCTGCATCCGCCGTGGAGAGGCGTGGATCATGTTAACCTTAACTTATGCGACGTGAAATCCGATTGGTTACGGATAACTTGTGGGTGGGTTATTATTATTCTGACGCATGCGTAGTCAACATTACGCAAAACTGCTCGCGTGTGTAAACGTGCGTTCTGCCGCGTGCTTTTTGGAGTAAGTCTTGAGATCAGTGTCGTTGCCTTAGGAGGGTGAGGAGGCTGCCCGCGCCCCGGAACCGCTGTCATCAACCGGAACGAGAGAGTCGCAAAGTTTCGCGTTGAGAAGTGTTACTGCGTCTGTTTTATCTTGCATGTCATCGGTAATTAGTCTTCCGCGAGCGTGTGTGTGAATGACATTAAACTCAGGGTTCAGAACTACAGATTGCAAGAAATGTCATTATTTTTATAAGTGTATTGTTTACAAACTAAAGTTTGCGAAGTTTTGAAGAGTTTTCACTTTCCAAACATTTATGTGTTTCACATAGGCCCGAAAATGCATCAGTGTAGAAATAATGTGTTAAATTAAGCGCACAAATTGCAAGAAATAAATAAGCGAGTTTTAATAACAAATAGAATAAAATAGGAATTTTAACATATTAGAATACATATAGCCAGTAATTCAAAATTTTAAACGTAAACTGTTATTTTAATTTTAGTTTTAAAAATGACGATGGCCATGATGATAACTTCGACAACAGCAAATCAAGTACCCGTGCCTTCTTTAATATCATCAGACATGTGCAATAACAGCTGTCGGTACAACAATGGTTCTGATAATACTGACTGCATTCATCGCCAAATTAGTGGCAATAATACTACGCATTCAGGGTACAAAATGAATCTGTCAGAGTACGCGCAGCGCTTGCAAAATAATGGGACGTCTACAAACACATACCATGAACAACTACATTACCAACAGCATATTCAAGACCACATCGGATGTCCAAGAAATCAGGAGAGAATAAGAAAGCATGTCGGTAAAAGTGAAGTTTCTTGTGATAACGTAAACTCCTTATCTACGCTTAGTGACAATTCATTCTATCGCTCAAACAGTCTCGAGCGTCAGTGTGAAGACAAGAACATCGTTATGAAGTTAGTGCCACCATACAGAGATAGTTCGAGGCTGTCTGTAGACGCTAGCAGCACCGTGTATCCGCATTACGAGGAGCATCTGATAACACGGTACAACCAGCACCAGATAACCTCGCCGTCTGTCCCTTACGACAACCCGCAGCAGCCACCGGCGAGATGCAGTTACTCCCGGTTGCCTCCGCCCCGACGCTCGTCGCCCTTCGGTCGCAACTGCGGCGGTCACGC